TTGGCTTCACTTACTTCAAAATGCATGCAGCCAACCTAGCATTAATCAAGTCTGTGGAACACTATTCAGTGGTGTCCTCATTTCTGGCTCGTCTCCCCTATCCCTTCTCTGTACCACAGTCAATCCCTACTGCCACAAGCTCTGACAAACTCTTTACATTCCTATGTCCCACTGGAATAGCAGGAGACTTAACAATTTCCTACCATCCAACGTGCTCTACAATATAATCACAACAAGATAGGGAACGACCAATGTGCTTAAGCATTCTGACACTGTGATCTGCACCCTTCACCGACCTATAATCGGTATACTCCATGCCATACTGCCAGATCCCAGTCACGTCCTTTGTACATATCCAATGACCCCCCGCAGCTACACGTCCAGACTCAATAACACTGTCATCAACCTTCTCTAAGCGACAATTGAGAGGCGTCAGCTCCAGGCAAGTCCATGGTATGTGCCCACTTATGACTGTTCCAGTCTGTTGCTCTTCATGTAGCACAGCACCCCTACAGAACCAGGCAAAATGGGAGAACCAGGCACAGCACATATTATCTGAAGAAATACTGGTGTAACGGAGTGACATGGTGGCCCCTATTATTGTATCACAATGAATGGTCCCATAGTAGGTACGGGGCTAGACCAATCTCTATATCATGGTTTTGGCCGAATGGGGTGTTCTAAGACAGATAGTTATCTAGGTCCATGGGCCATGTAGGGCATAAATGAAAAAGGTATATGCTAGAGGTTCGGTTCCCTCGGAAGTATATAAGGTGTACTGTACTTGCCCAAGTAGCGTGCTTGATACAAGTCTGCTCCCTGCTACTATATGTATTAGTGTACGTTCTGGCAAATATGCTTGTAGTGTTGCCCCTATAATTAATGAGCTGAGGGGTTCCATGTAGAATAGAATGTTTACTGCACAAAGTATGCCCCAGAGCAAAACCAGGCATCTGACGCGATGACATATCATTGCACGGTGGGCGGGAATATATCCTGCCCTAAGAGGTTATGCCTACAGGATATGTATACTAGCAGCTCAGAGCTCAATAGAAGTTGGAGCAACTGCTTACAGGTCATATACCAATTGTACACGTACGCAGCAGGACGTAGTCGGAGTGACGTAAACTAAAGTGTCCACAATCAACATATGGTTCCTGAATATTAAGGTTTGATTTACAAAATGTTCTAGTAATTGGATACGGCAACAAACCCCGGGATTTAAAGATAAGCTTATAGCCATCAACGCCATGAGATTTGAGCCAATGTCGCATACGGGCTCGTCTAGACTGGGTTTCACTTTCAACATCGGGAGCATCGGGAAAAATTCTATTTGCTGCAAGTGGTTGCTGTTTGCCCATCTCATCCTCGTTGTCCACCCTAGACTTCTATTCGAATAGGGCCCGCCTAACGTCCGAATGCGAAATTGAATCATCATGCTGAAATGGTATATTGATTGGTGTGATGTGCGCCGAGTGGTGGAGAAGCCATGGTGTCAGAGAAGACACATGATGCTCGCCGGTGTTTAAAACGGGTCAAGCGTTTCTAATGCCTAATAACTGACAGATATCCATGCTGTAAAGGAGACATAAAAGTTCTTTTATTTTAATTCGTAGGGCTGGTCGGCCCTGCCTCTCCCACGAACATTATCAACCCGCCAACTCCATCTCAACATTGGCTCATACCGTCGACTCCTTGCCCGACTGTCTGCGTGAAGATTCCGGAGTGCCAACTAACACATAATAAAACCGAGTCATTTAGATGTTGGAGGGGTAGAGCATGACGCGGACAGTAGCGCCGAAGGACTTGGGGGGGAGGTTGTGGCGGAACTGAGCACGGACAACGCCGGAGTTTCCTGTTGGATGCTATTGTCAGTCCTGCACATCACTGCAATTTCCGCCACCATTGCCCGAGTTCCGTGCACCATATAGTCCAGTTTCACATACCGTGAGGACGAGTAACCTTGCCCCAGATCACCCGGATGTTGGAACCCCGAACCTCGCGCTTAGCCCGGTAGACGAAAGCGACCTTCTTGCCGAGGTAGAAGTTGGCAGCCTCGGTGTTGTCAACACCGTCGATCTTGATCAGACTATATCACCGATGTCAGATTCCATGTCCCAAACTTCCGATATCAGATGCGGATCGGTACCTGGTGTTGGGGTTGACCTGGCGCTTGGAGCGCTGGTAGCTCAGGTGACGTCCCCTAAAAAGCAATTCGTATTAATCCTCTGTTCTGATCATCTGTCGCGGTCCCATCCGTATCCCATCCTCGCAGGCGACTTTGATAGACATATATCATTTCCGGATACGCGCGACACGATATAGTTGTGGTAACTTACTTGACGTAGACTATAATTTAGAAAGATACATGTTAGCATCTCGTCTCCAACCAAGCTTCATGTAAGATCCTCCAAGCTCCTTCCCGACTCCAAGTATATCCGTTGTCGCACACCCCATAACCATAACCATAACCGGAACCATAACATTCAACAACTCCAGAGGTGTACTCACGTCTGTGACCGTGTTCCGAAGGCATTCTGACGGCGGTTCTGAGCAACAGCGGGCAACGCAAACAAGTCGAGGAAATGACCCGCAAAAATGTCGTTCGGGTTGTCGTGGTTGTCGTCGCTTCGTAGGTATGAGACGGCGTTCACAATTTGCGAGGGTGTGTTCGGTGCGACTCGCCCTAACCCGTTTCGGGACGCTTAGCGAGCTGACTGGTCACCTGTGGTCGACCCCAGCCAGGGCTAGCCAAATCCCGTGATGGAGCATGGGAAACAGCCGCTAAACCTACTTTGGTTACCACGGAGAAATAAATATTCCTGTCCCCGATATAAGCATTGACTCTAAATTCCTGCTGCAAGTCTCCACCGCATCGTTACCTTTTTTGCCGTCGGGCTACTGTGGTCCGAGGCCGGTTCGGGCGGCTATTCTAACGGCATGGAGTATCTGTCTACCTAGGTAGGACTGCACCCCGCTGACAGAAAGGTGTTTAAGAGGTCACAGGAGACTGACTCTTCAATGACGACAAAGGCCCCATCGCCCCTGCAGAGGGATCAGGTGTTGCTGTTACCTTTTGGGTTTCCGCTCTCACTTCATCGAATAGGGGACCTCGGTGCATACATATAAAGTAGGGGCCGTGTTTTGGGTGCATATAGGGATGTTGGGGTTTGATTCATCATTGCAGTGGTGCTCATCCAGTGATGTAGTATGTATGGGATGTACTCCGTACTCCGCTACGGAGTTTATAACTAAAGACGGCACCCTTACTGAGTGATCATACCGGGAGCACATATTTGGAAATACAGCGAGTTCCGCCCCACAGGCAATCGGCAGCGACCTTTACGCGGAGTATATGTTGTTTTACTCTGACAATACACAATTGTATCCTGGTCTGACCGTAGAAGTTCAAAAGAAATAAAGGAAACAAAAGGAAAAAAAAGAGAAGTAATTGGGAGCCATCTACTTCTACACATCTACTACCTAGAGACAGCCCGAGTCAACTATCAAGTCAATACCCGGCTCGGTACAGTCGTGAGGCTAGGTTCGGCGTTAATGCAGCCGAGTCGGTCTGATTACATTTTCATCCAGACTTTCTTTAAACTTACGGGAAAATAGAATCCGTATTGATTGAGTGGCAGTTATCAACTTTGGATGACAAATCCGCCGATCAAACTCCACGAGTACGGTCACCGAAAGTGGCTTCTAGGAGCACGCAGTTCCGGCTACCTTCCTCACAGCTTCTGGCGCGGTCGATGGAATAGGCCGGCCTGTATGTACATACCCTGTAATACAGTGGAGTCCGAAATCGCTCTTTGTGTACTGTAATCGGAGGGATACTTTCTACGTAGTCTATAGATTAAATTAAACTATACGAGGGACAGATTCACTTGTCAAGGTGGATTGGAGATGAAACAGCAGAGTGACAGTGAGTAAGGGCTTACAAATGAAATACTAATTAACTATCCAGACTCTCGTTGTAACTCTAACTTTAACTTGCGTCCTCCGTTGACAAGTTGGCAAATGGCAATCAGATTGAAGACGGTTACCCTCCTAGATTTAGTAAGTAAAAATGTACTTACGATGTCTTACATTTCTTTCACGTCTATCAAACAATGATTACCATTCAGGTGATATGCGGATTACTTGAGAGTAAGCGGTTATGACTCGTGAGACATAAGATTACCAGCCAGCTGATAGCTCGCGCGGGGTTAACAACATCCAGCAGTTGCTTTGGATAATGGAACGAGTGGTACTCAGTGGATCTGAATTTTCCGGTAGACTTAGCCCAGTCCATCTTCGGATAATTTCAGGGATTCTGATCTGATATTTTGGCGGTAATACAAAGTTACAGACATGCTCTACAGGCACGGTGGTTGTAGTTACTCCTATAGGTAGTACAATCAATACCAAAGGGGCTGGTGGCTACTATCTAGCTCAACTGTCACGTATGAAAATGGACGCTATGATATAAGACAGAGGAGTGAGAGACCGATGGGACCTGAGAACTAGCTAGCAAATTCATTACAAGATGATAGATAAGCCAGCAAGAACATCGTCTTCTAGAAAGTCTAGAAGCCTGTTAAATTTATAATACAGCATTTGAATTTAAGAAAAAATCTTATGTATGTATGTAGAGACATACAATGATACAAAAGGGGCAAACAAAGAAATAAAAATAAAAAATAAAAAAGATTTTCATCGAAAAAAAAAGAAAAAGTAAAAAGAAGGAGAAAGATCATGATAATAGAATTAAATAATAATACCAGGTAATACATGAAAGAGTAAGAGCCCCGCGGCAAATTATATGGACGGAGGTGGAAAAGAAGGCCTCGTGCCCCACCATCGTAATGCTGCTGCAGCTCTAAGCAAAGTCCTCTCACGGCGTTAAAAAAGTACACTGCTCCGCCGGAACTGTTGGGGATTTTTCCAACAAACCTCTCCTCCATTTCTGACTCCCCTTTAATTTTTCCCTCTCCTCTCGAACTTAGATCTCTTTCTCCTATCCTACATTCCTTCCACCCCATTGCGACCCGATCTCCTATCATAACATCATGGCCAGCACAATAGCACGTTCTGAGGAGCGCCAGAACGCTGGGTGAGTGTTGACCACATCCTGCCTCCCTCTGACATCACTCCCTCCCTCTCAACTGTTCCGCCCACTTTGTCCACCCGCCGTGACAAACCGCGCTCGAAGCATTTCAACCTGGAATTGATCCCCATCAATTATATATATTATTTAGAATTCGACCTCTACATTGCTTTTTTTGGGCTTTCTTTTATTTTCTTCGAATTTTCCTTCTATCACATACAGGCTCCCGTTGATCGACATACATTATCCACAATCCCTGTTCTGCAACTGCCTCTAATTCGCTGCTAACATGGATATTTCGCTTAGCACCCTCGAGCTTAAAGATGACACTGCCATTGTAGTACTTGGTGCCTCGGGAGATCTCGCGAAGAAGAAGACGGTGGGTGATCCTGCGAAGCTTGGTGCAAGAAATCGGAAGCTAATGTCTCTCATAGTTCCCGGCACTTTTCGGCCTTGTATGTACCTGCGGACTAGCCCTCTAATGAGGGGTTAGGTAACCTTGTTTCCCTGGCTGACCCTGCATCTAGTATCGTAACAAGTTCCTTCCCAAAGGAATTAAGATTGTCGGCTATGCCCGGACAAAAATGGACCACGAAGAATATCTGAGACGTGTGCGGTCGTATATTAAGACCCCTACTAAGGAAATCGAAGAGCAGCTGGACAGCTTCTGCCAACTATGCTCCTACGTCTCGGGTCAATACGACAAGGATGAGGCTTTCCAGAACCTCACTAGGCACCTGGAGGATATCGAGAAGGGTCAGAAGGAGCAGAACCGTGTCTTCTACATGGCTCTTCCCCCCAGCGTTTTTACTACCGTGTCGGAGCAATTAAAGAGAAACTGCTACCCCAAGAACGGTATCGCTCGTATTATCGTGAGTCGTCCCTTATACCGTCGTCTTCAGCAAAAACGGTTGCTCATGTGTGCTTTATTTGTTATAGGTTGAGAAGCCTTTCGGCAAGGACTTGCAGAGCTCGCGTGATCTCCAGAAGGCGCTCGACCCCAACTGGAAGGAAGAGGAGATCTTCCGTATTGACCACTACCTGGGCAAGGAGATGGTCAAGAACATCCTTATTATGCGCTTCGGCAACGAATTCTTCAACGCCACCTGGAACCGTCATCACATCGATAATGTGCAGGTACGAATTGGATAATTGCTCCGTTTGGCCTGGCTATTTACTAAAATAACTTGCTCCAGATCACATTTAAGGAGCCCTTCGGCACTGAGGGTCGTGGCGGCTACTTCGACGAGTTCGGTATCATTCGTGACGTTATGCAGAACCGTATGTAACACGTTGTTTGTTCCCACATGCTGGCAAGAAAGCTTACCTCTTTGCTGCAGACTTGTTGCAGGTATTGACTTTGCTCGCTATGGAGCGCCCCATCTCATTCTCCGCCGAGGATATTCGTGACGAGAAGGTAACGGTTTCTTTTAACCCAACCATCCTCTGTTCTGATATTGATGCATTAGTAGGTGCGTGTTCTGCGCGCGATGGACGCCATTGAGCCCAAGAACGTCATCATCGGTCAATACGGAAAGTCTTTGGATGGAAGTAAGCCCGCATACAAAGAGGACGAGACTGTCCCTCAGGATTCTCGCTGCCCCACTTTCTGCGCATTAGTCGCATACATCAAGAACGAGCGGTGGGACGGTGTTCCTTTCATCATGAAGGCCGGCAAAGGTACATTCTACCCTTTACTCTCCCTGCGTTGCTTGCATGCTTACAGTCCCCAGCCCTGAACGAGCAAAAGACCGAGATCCGTATTCAGTTCCGCGACGTGACTTCAGGCATCTTCAAGGACATTCCTCGCAACGAGCTCGTCATCCGTGTTCAGCCCAACGAGTCCGTGTACATTAAGATGAACTCGAAGCTTCCTGGCCTCTCCATGCAGACTGTCGTGACTGAGCTTGACCTCACCTACCGCCGTCGCTTCTCCGACCTTAAGATCCCCGAGGCTTATGAGTCTTTGATTCTGGACGCCTGAAGGGCGATCACTCGAACTTCGTGCGTGATGACGAGCTTGACGCCAGCTGGAGAATCTTCACACCTCTCCTGCACTACCTTGACGATAACAAGGAGATCATCCCTATGGAGTACCCCTACGGTATGTTCTGGATCTGTGTTGCATATAGTATGTGAGTTTTTGTGGCTAACGGTGGACTAGGCTCCCGTGGACCTGCCGTTCTCGACGACTTCACTGCCTCGTTCGGCTACAAGTTCAGCGATGCTGCTGGCTACCAGTGGCCCTTGACTTCCACCCCCAACCGTCTGTAGACGGGGAAGGCTTATGAGGCTAACGAGAATGTAAAAAGGACAAAAAGGGGCAAGGATACTAATGCAGCATGACTGAGTTTGTTTTTATTGTTATGGTATGTTTGGGAATTTCGGTTTGAGTAGGCGGCTTTTTTAAACAATCGGTGGGCCGGCAATGACGGAGTAAATCCATTTTTACCACCCAACTCTAGAAACGAATCAAGTGAATATTACGAGATCACGAAAGATGCGCAGACCTCGCGCCGTTGTTCTCCAGGAAAAGAGGCCAAGCCGATTCTAAGACTTGGCGGGGACAACGAGGACATTTTAAAAGAAAGAAAAAAAAGAAGAACATACCCCTGGATCCCTGTAGATGAATAAGATTAGCATTACGTACGAGTCAGTCGCCTGGTAAAATGTCGATGTTCATTTGAGAGTTCATGATCAGCTATTTATAAACCACCCTTTCAGGTCCCTTGTGGGTCTGGTAAGATTAAATTTCATAGCCTGCTGCCGATAAGATTGATTGAATTCTGCCCTGACGTTCCCGGGGGCCCGCATGCGTCTGTGGTCTGGGTCCCGCCCGTGACTTTCCTTTTCCTTCTTTCCTTTCTTTCCTTTCTTCCCTTGGTGCCTCAATTTTCTCCAGGCGCTCTTTGCTTTTATATGCGATTGACCCTCCCATCAGATTAATTCCCGGTATAGAGCACCGCTTACGCGCTTTCGTCCATCAGTCTTCGAGCTTCCACGACATTGTTCCCGCCATTGGATCTGCGTTGCATCCTCCCATGCTATTTTTTTTATCACAGACAGACACTGCGACGAGCGCAATCCTCCTCCAACCTCTACCGCCGACTGTTGATTACTCGTCGAGTCTAAGCTCATAGGAGCCCTTACACCTCGCAATTGCCGCCCAGACTCTTATATTCCCCGATCGAATTGAGAACCTGTCGACTGCTCTAGAACGTGTGGTTGCCTGATCGTAGGCACGAGACCAGGTGGACCTAGTCCATTTCATGGAAAATCGAGGATTTCAGAGAGCGTCAATTACATGCAAGCATCCAGCGATATAATTAAGGATGCCACAAGCTGCAAGATGGGTGGGTTCGCCCTCCATCAAGGGACGAACAGAGGCAATGCGCATGGCACTCTTGACGTTTAGTCTGTTAGGGTTACAGTACGTTGACCATCATTGTCGGTATCTACACTGCCTGTGATGAACATGATCCGCTAAGATATCTATGGTGCAGGTTTACTTGGGGCATTGAAATGACCTGTAAGACCTTTTCTCCTCCGCCGCCGAACCGTCCTCTAATCAGACCTACTCGACATAGACTGCACTCCGTATCTTCTCCAGCTCGGCCTCACTAAATCTCGAACATCACTTGTCTGGATCGCTGGTCCTTTGTCCGGGTTGATTATCCAGCCTCTCATTGGTGTCATCGCTGATCGGTCGCGATCGAAATGGGGAAGACGAAGGCCATTCATGATTGTAGGCTCATTGATCGTCGCGATGTGTTTGTTAGTGCTGGGATGGACTTCAGAGATTGTCGGTCTTTTTGTCAAGGAGGCAGAAAAGGTAGGTTGAGAAGCACGCTGAATTTTAAGCAAGAGCTTACATGTGGATCATTTACTAGGCCAACCGAGTTACCATTGCGCTAGCGGTCCTTAGCATTTATGCCGTAGACTTTGCCATCAATATCGGTGGGTGTGGGTACCAAGGAAATCTCAAGTGCTATCTAACAGCGTCTAGTCCAAGCGTGTTGTCGGAGCTTGATAGTTGATACATTGCCTATTCCATCACAGCAGGCTGGGTCAGCATGGGGTATGTTTTTTGCCCATTGCCGAATGCGAATGACTGATCTAATATCCCAAAGCCACTAGAATGTCAGCCATTGGCCAGCTCATTAGTTATGTTATCGGATCAATCGATACAGTTAGCATATTTGGCACCACAATTGGCGATACTCAGTTTAAGCAGATGACAGTTATCGCTGCGCTATCCTTACTCATCGCTGTTCTGGTCACTTGTTATGCGGTGAAGGAGAGGATATTGATTACTGCTAGGTGAGTAGATGACCGAGGATACGCCCCAGATGCGGTTCGTTGACTTGTGGGACAGAGACTCCGAAGGGAAGGCCGGGGCTTTCCAGGTCATGTCTCAATTATTCAAAACTACAATGGACTTGCCTCCCCGCATCCAAGCCATCTGCTGGGCTCAATTTTGGGCGTGGATTGGTATAGACATCCTTGTGAAAACTTTGATACAACCCTCGCTAATCTATACCAGGCTGGTTTCCATTCCTTTTCTACAGCACCACCTGGGTTGGTGAGACATATTTCCGTTATGAGGTTCCAAAGGATGCGACGTATCCGACCGACATGCTTGGCGAGGTTGGCCGAGTTGGCAGTTTGTCACTGGTCGTCTTTTCGTCCATAACATTCTTCAGCTCTGTTCTGTTGCCATTCTGCGTACAGCCTCCAGATGACAGGAGACCCCGATTTACACCACGACCCCCTCCAGGGATTGCCGCCTTGCTGAAGAAGATCGCTTTGATACGACCGGACTTGCAGACGACCTGGTTGATCTCCCATGTGATGTTTGCAGCTACTATGATCTTCGCACCTTTGGCCCGATCCCGGGCCTTTGCAACCTTTTTAGTAGCCTTATGTGGAATTCCGTGGGCGGTCAGCAGCTGGGCCCCTTTCGCCTTCATGGGTGTGGAGATAAACAAGCTGGCCTTAGGCCCAACTCAAGCATCGCGCCTGGCCGGTGTCACTATGATCACATCTTCCAGTATCCGTTCTGAGGCTTACGGTGATAGAAATGGAGATACGGAGATGGACGTGCTGCGTCTCAACCACAATGACACAGACAGCGATTGTGACACAGAGGGTGGTGCCTCCGATCTACCATCAACAGGTGAATTGGCTGGCATTTACCTAGGCGTGCTGAATGTGTACACGACACTGCCACAATTCGTCGGCACATTCATCAGCTGGATAGTGTTCAGTGTTATCGAGCCAGGTAGCACAAAGCGAGATGCCTCGGAGACGCAATGGATGAACCTCGATAAGGGTTCGCCCAATGCCATCTCGATCTGTCTGTTTATTGGCGCGCTAAGTACGCTTGTGGCCATTGAAGCGACTCGACGCTTACGTCACACTCGATAGTGATCGTGGCTTTCTCTCTTCTACGGTATATCTTTTCTATCACGACGAAAAGAGAGTCTACTTTAGACTCTCTGATATTATACTATCTGATACCCAGATTCATTCAGCGATGTATTATTTGGGAGTATATGGGACATGTCTGAGGTGGCATCTTTCAGGCACAGACCGACTGAGTCTGCGCTGATGATTGATTGGCCTTGACATATTTGGGGGATTTGTTCGCCACATACATATTGGCATATGACGGTATATATTATTGAGATAATGATAATTATAATGTACTATACGATACTCTTGACCTAATGGTAATTTACTTCATGAATATAATGATTAGGGTATGTACCTTCGATGATATATGTTCTCAACTCAATTCTACATACCACCATTCTACGACACAATCCCAAGTTTCCCTGGCACTCAATAAGCTGGGGGATACGCCCACAATCTTAAATAGTCACCATTAATATCAGTTGGGTAACATTTATCCTACCCAAGTGCCGAAGAAGAAAGGGATGAAGCTTGTAAAGGCCCGCGAAGTAATTTACACCGGAGATGTACTAAAATTGAGCTTGATTTATAGCGATAGTCGGCTAAGGTATATCGGTAATTCAAAGTGTGAAAGAAAAGTGAAAAAAGTAATTAAATAAACAAAAGACAATCAATAAAACAGGAAGGGGAATAAAACGATAAGCTCAAAACAATTGAAAAGGGGAATCGCCACAACATGAATATCCTTCCCTCGATGAACTAATAAGCCAGGGATGATGTTACAACAGAGTCGTCCGTTCATGGCGCGCGTCCGTCATCCTTCGCTATCAGAGCCTGTGCTCTTGTCATGTGAATAGGAATTTTATGGAGGCCAGGCCCAAACGCGGGGCAATCAAAAGAAAACAGAGCCTGCAACAGATATCGGAAATTGTCGAGGCCGTATAGAGATTAAACAGGTGGTACAAGGTATATGAACAGATGATGTGCATCAAAAGACGAAAGATAAAAGTGACTGGTACTCAAGAATGAATAAAGGATTCAAGTATGAATTAAGCCATTTTGCCGGTCAGTTCGGCCACCCTGGCCTTGATCCGAGCCGCGCGAGCATCGAAACCTTAATGATACAACATTAGTACAATGGACGACTGCTATTATGGAGGCTTGCGTTACTTACTTTCTTCTTCGCTTGTGTTGCCACCGTCGTCTTCGTTCATCCGCATATGCTCATACTGGGCGGCTCTTTCGGCGGCGTTTTTACGAATCTGTGCCCACCGGTCATGGGAAGGATTGGCCTGAGAGGGAGGGCTAACTTCATCCTTGGCTTCAGCCGGTGCGCTGTCGACAGGTTCCTTCTCTGAGAACGTATCGGACACAGGCGAATCCTCTGGAACAAACGCCGGCTGCTCCACCAAAGGCCCTTGATCAAATCTCGAGAACTCACTATCGGCTGTGGTGCGTTCGTTGGTATTTACGCGTGAAAGGGCATCGTATTCGGCTTGCCGCTGGCTACTATGGTAGTCGCTATTTGATGCGGAGACATGGGGTTCTGGCTGCACTCTTGCCTCTGGCTGAATCTTGGCCTCCGGCTGTTCAGGCTTCGGTGTTTCAGTGACAGGCTTGGGAGTAGCTGGAGCTTCGACGACAGGCTTCGATGTTTCTGCGGTTGATACCCCAGGCACAGGCTTCTTCTTCAGGGTGGATGGACGGACAACCGGTTCTTGGGATGCCTTTGCCTTATCCTCCAGGGCAGCACGTGCAGCAGCCACAGCGGACCCCCCGGCACCCGTAGACTTCATTGGCGGTCTTGCTTCAGGTTCAGGCTTCCTCTTCGTTGTCCCAAACATACTCTTGATTCCCATAGTAGGAGGCTTCTTCTTTAATTTATTGGATGTATCCTCTGCTAAATCCGTGGACTTGCGAAGCGGCTCAGTGGCCGACTGTTCCACAGGAGCACTGGAACTATCTTTCCGACCACTGGCGTCTCGGTCACCAGTAAAGCTATCCTTCTGAGGTGTTGCGGGCGCTGGAGAGCTACGAACGTCATCCTTGGGTAGAGGCGGGGGAGCCTGTCGGGTACTGGTACTGAGGGCTGGAGACAAAGGCGGGCTCAGATTTTCCCTGGAGGCCTCCTTTACTTCATCTACCGGAGCACCAGTTCCCGCAAGGCTATTCTC